CTTCTTAAACACTTTTGCGCAGATGATCTCTTTTGAGGTAGCGGTAATGTATCCCATTCCATCCACCCAGAAGAAAAGGTTCAATAGTATCATTATCAAGCCAAACGCGAGAGGTCTGTAGGCTCAAAGTAATCTACTGGCGAAGAGCAGCTGATCAATCCAAGTTCAAGCCACCAAGTGCCTGATTCGTTGATGACCAGTCAGCCTGGATCTGGGTTTATCCATGGATAACGCCTCAATGGCGCTTCCTATGCTGATACTATGTTTCAGAACATCCATTTGCCAAAGCATTGCAGAAGATGGGAAGGAATGTCTGGACAAGGCTTGGATTCCGTCCAGCCGCTCAAAGGCAACTCACTGGTTGAAGCCGGGCGCGGAGGGGTGGCTTCCAGTCTCGAATGCCAAAATCAGCATGGCGCCTGACAGTTGCCGGCCAGAACGCCGGAGAGTAGAAGTCACTCAGGCAAAAGCCTGGTCAATGGCTTCTCTCTGATGCCGGGTGTATGGCTGTCGACGGGGACGCATAGGACTGATTCAAAGCTTCGACGAGATGCCATTAAGCGGATAAGCATAGATTTCTTACCGTAGGCCAGGTTGGAGAGGGAGAACGAAACCCTGACAGCCGTCGTTCTCAACTGTGGGATGGAGAAGGGCGGGTGCGAAAAGTCAACTATGTTGCGCCCCGCATAAGAAATTCGCCCCAAAAGAGCTTCCGCGACACGTTGAATTGTGCGCCATTTCCATCTCGACTACTATGGCCTTTCGTACTGGTGGTCCTGACATAGGCTACTGTTGGCGAGGTAGCGACTAGCCAGTTGAACAATTAGCACGTCCGTCTCGTTGCCGGCGTTGTCCTCAGACTAACAAAGGGTAGGCGTCGGATTGTCGTGACCATTTATCGCTTCGCAAAGGTCTCGTATCAAGGCTTGCAGGAGTTGAACGGCCCAACTGTTTGCGTTGTGACGCGAAACAACCACCTTCGGCATCCCTAGATCAAAGTCCACGGCGATCCGAAAGAGACTGCGAGCGACTCGAACGACGGCTCGCTGAGCTGCGTATCGAGGCATGAGTCAATCACAGAGTAGTAAATCACGCAAAATTGGTGTATCGAAATGGCAGGCCACGAGTGTTTTCATGATTCCATCAGTCTTGCTTAGTCGCACCTTATCGCGCTGCCACACGACGATCACAGGGGCCTTGCTGGTAGAGCCAGTGTACAGGTCTAGTTTCGAGGGTATGATGAGGCTCGATGCATGGGATGACGAGATGGCAGGAAAGTATTTGCAGGATTTGCCGTCTGCAAGCACAGGAAATCCGAATAAACGTGCCCCGACCGGCGAACAGTTGATACAGACGCAAGAAGGACACAATTTGTTTGGTCGGAAACAAGCTCGTGGTCCCTGGATGACAATGGCGATTCGATGCCATGCGTTGAAATGTATTCCGGTGTGCTATACGGAATGGTGTTCAGATATCCCGACCTGCGTCGCGGCCCCGTGATCGGGAAGAATGAGAAAGCTGGGAATGGATGAAGGGTGAGGAAGAAACATACCTAGCGCGTCCCACCGAGGTTGCGGCCGTCCCAAGGAACAAGCGTTCGAGTGCAATCCCGTTTTGATTCGAGACCCTCGAACGTGGTGCTAAGGGCCAGTTTGCAGCGGACGCAATCGACGCAGTTGTGAGGTGATTGTAGACGGGTGGGGACTTGGATGGAATAAATGGATCACAGGCACTTACTGGTGCCATGCGCCTGGGCAGAAGGTGGATCGTTGGTTTCGGGCGAGCAGCGTAGACGATGGGCGCCAAGGTCGGGGATATCGCGATGCTTGGCCACGGTAGTGGAGGGCCAGCAGGGGCTTATGTTGCTTGTTGTTTGTTGCTGGTGGCGGATTAATATTGGGCCTGAACTGAACCATGGAGATAAAGGCGGAGGAGGAGGATAAAATCGAGCGCAGGACCGCGAGAAGGGACTGAGAAGCAACAAGGTGCTTAGGGCCGCCTGCAAAAGTCCAACGGCTCGTGAGGAGGACGAGACATGAGAGAGGCAAGAGATAAGAGGCACACTTTTAGGTGGGAGACGGCACACAAGTCATGCGGTTAAAGTTGAGGCCGCAAGGTGCTATCTCCACATGTGAAGACTCAGAACACTATCCGTCTCGTCCATGCCCCGCTGAACGAGACGGACAAGACGCGAAATCTCGTGCACACCCTGCTGGACGAACAATAATGACGTCCTCAAGTAAGACCCGATCTTTCCATCTTTCCATCTTTGCACGACGAACGTCCGCCATGCAATTGCCCGCGCTCTTCATCTCCGAAGTCGCCGTTCTGGGTCGTTTCCTTGGCGCATTGCCACACTCTTGATCCAACTTTCCAGCCTGCATCACGCCCAGGGGACCATGGCCACCAGCCGTACACACCAGAGTGAGCCACGTCACTTGCGCGGCGCCCTGTTGGATGTAGCCGGGTGACTTATCCCAGCTTGATCGTGGTCTAGGCTTCATGTGAGTTCGGGCCTCGGGGGGTAGCGCTCCAATGGCCGGGCCCCCACCTACCGACTCCTCACTCTGAGTCGGCGAACGGAGCGGGTCTAGGGGTGGCCGTGTGGAGTTGAAGTGGCCCCTCTTGTCTTCTTGTTTCGTAAGGGACCTCCGACCATCTCGCACAGAAGCATGGGACATGCTGAAATTGTAGTTTAATGGTTTGTGTTTGACCGCAATGAGTGTTCACTCGGCTCTAGAGCTATAATGATGATGAACCCTTTCAATCTGAAGCGTTCCGCTTACTAACCCTTCCGTCTGTCTTCACGCTGTAGTCCTAGCCAAAAAGAATGTGAGACAAGCCACCAGCGACAATCTTCCATTTTGGACCTCATCAGGCCAAGTTAGCCATCAGTCCGCGGTCAACATTCGATATGAACCTCGCCAACAGGTCGAGCAACTTCACAGTAAGGTCACTCTCAGTCTGTACGGGAAAGAAGCCCCAAAAATTGTACTGCCCCCTTGCGAGGGTCGCAGTTGACTAGGTTTTGCTAGATTTTAGCAGAAGTACGTCAATCTCACCGAATTACGTTAATGAACTCTCGAACGCGATGGAAAGCTCCTTACCACGACAGCCAGAGTTCCCCTCTGCGCCACATCACGCCACACAGGCTATTGGGGCCGAATTCGAAGGCAGGAAGCTGCGCGTTAGGAGTTTAAATAACAGGCGGCCGTTAAGATCTAAGTCTACTCTTGTCTACCAGTCTCATTAATTCAGATGCCCGGCGCTGGCGCACCTGCCCCCGTTCTCGGAAGCAAGGCCAAACCGGTGGCCCTGATTCTGCTTGAAAGATAGAGGGGACAGATAGCTACACCACCATCGAAACAACAAATCCTTATGGGCTTCGACAGCGCTTGAGTCCGCAAAAGTTGCTTGTACACTGTCGTCGCAGCGCCCACAGCCGGGTCCTTGGCGGACTTGGGCAGATCGGTGACGCCCTCCTAAATGGCTGACTTCTCGCTCTCCGAGCGAGTTCAGGTGTCTTGGGATGATTCGTAGACACAACGAACGCGACGTATGAGTTGGTGGCGGCCTCGACTGTCGTGAGGCCGCTGGCAACGACCGGAAGATGGCAATAGATGCCGAGGGAGGACAACATGCGCTGGTTTGTAGCGTTGCTTAGCTGAGGTTCGGGTCGACGAGTAGGCCTTCGTTTGCTGAACTCTCAGCATGCTTGGTAGCCCATTTTCGAGAAATGAAATAACCGAAATCGGGGTTTCCATCACGCAGTACAATGGCTGTTGAGTGGCTCTAGATAGACCGCTCATTTGTGTCATCAACGAGGAATTTGATGTAGAGTGGCTATTTTGATTAAGGTAGCTTTTCTAAAAGTACCATAGCCCCTATCCATGCGAGCGGCTCGACGGTAAAGTGGCTGGGTCAAAGGTGTTGACGTGGCTGTGAGTAGGAGTACACACGTCTCTGCTCTAGATATTGTGCGAAACTGTACCATTGTGCAATGCGTACCTATAATTGAGCAAGCCGAACCGCACAGGAGGATGCAAAAAGTGGCAACCGCCCTTATTTCTTTTTGGTGCACTGCGGAACTCAAAACTCCCTTCTATTGGATATGATCGGCCCTTGCCGAAGGGTTTACTGCATTGGAAATGACTCAGACCAGCTGTTCTCCAGGGCGCATGTTCAGAAGACCAACGCGATATGAAGCTTATTAGGCCCCGGTAAATAAGTGTCAAGCGCACGTGGCCGAATGGAAGGGTTTGCCTTTTTGTCTGTTAAGCAATTGGACTCAGATCGGCATCAACGTTGCCCATTTACTTCGGGTCACCGCGCAACGGATCTCGATAGATCAGGTCTACTGTCCCCCGTTTGATATATCATGAAGACGACCTAGAAAGGTCTTGGTAGTTATCAGAAATTTGCCCTCACAACTGCCCTTCTGTGTTGGTTTCAGAGGTTTCCCACGTCGTACTAACGCCTCGCCGACTGGCAAACGACGCTGCTATTGGAAATCTAAAGCGGAGATAAGCCGATCAATGACCGTGCTCTTGTCGCGAGATGTAGCGTGTTCGGTGAGCCCCCTATGCGGCGCCATCTTTGGTCTTCTCCTTGAAGGTGTGAGAAGTTTGGTTATGAATGTGACATGTCAAAGTCATCGGCCCCGATCTTTGTCATCAAGTTGACTGATGTGCTCACCGCCGGGCAAGTGCATTTTCAGAGCGCAAGAGAGGTCCGAGCACTGAGACATGATAGATGGAAGGGCCTGCAGTCGAATGTGCTTGCAAAGGCGTAAGCCTCGCTGCGAATGAGGAAGACGACCATACTGCAGGACTTGAAACCAGCCAGTGTCCATGACAAGAAGCGCCGCCTTCGTGCAGTCGTGAAGGAGCCCTTCAACATCTGTCCCCACTGCACACACCACGTCGTCCAACTCCTTGCTCCCGCGATTATCCCACGCATACAGACCATCAGAACGAATCGTTTCAGAGACGACAGTCATCATGGCTCCCAATTTTGACGCAATGACCCTTGTCCAGATCCGTCAGTTCTTGCGAGATTTCTCCATTCGCATGCCAGCCCGCGCACGCAGGGCAGAGCTCCTGCAGATAGCGGAATGTCATGGCTTCATAAGCACGCCCAAAGACGAAGGCGTTCGACTGGCCGCGACCGCTTCAGAACAGCCAAGAACATCGACTGAAAAAGGCGACACGAAGCCGGCAAGCAGCTCGGCCATGATGACAGTCCATGACCCGCTCCGAAACATTCCCACCAAGAGCGACGACGTCTCGTACCTGCAAGCAAACTTCAATCCGGCCTCCCTCACCATCGCCAGGCTGCGTAACATCTTGGCAGCTCACGAGGTGTCATACGCCACGGCGAAGACAAAGAACGATTTTATCCAGCTCTTCCTTTCCAACATCAAGCCGCGGGCTGAGGCCACCATCAAGGCCATGGCCGCAGTCAAGAGAACAGATGCAGGAATCATTGACATGAGATCGTGAAGGACCTGGCAACTTCAGTGTATTTCGCCGTCATCGCAGCAGAGGAACTAGCCCGAGTTGGATCATGTTATTGTGGATTGGTATTGATTGTTGGACGATACTGCAGTCTTGGTCGTGTGCGGTGTCAAGAACGTCTCATGTCATGTGGGTTTCAAATGTTTCGGCAACTTAGATCATGGAATCAGGCAGCGTTGGTGATATCGAAACGCCTTTTTGGGAGTCAACATACGATTGCAACATGAGAACCATACAGACCCGTAGCCCAGTGGTAGCATCTGAAGAGCCATGCGCGCGATGAGCTGCGAGCTTGACCGACGACATGTTGCAGTCCGTGGCGAGTCAATATGAAACTCTCTGAACACAATTCAACACGTCATAATCGCGTGCCCAAGTCTGTTTATTCCATGAGGATATCGTGGTGAATCTCGATGAAGTAGCATGCCCGACGTTTGCAGCATAGACTTTGCTCACTGAGTAGGCAAAAGTTCCATGGACATGTCCGATTATTTAATGCATCAGCTCCTGTGAACGGTCACTGACGATTTATTGGACCATCGGCAGATGGAGTTCGACAGAGTGCAGGTCAAATCAAGAGAAGGATTGAAGAAAGACGTTCTCAAACCCACTGGCTTTGGGTGATGCCTGCCCTTGCCTCGACCCTTGCTTCTGGAGCATGCGCGATAGTCCAAGGCTCTGGCCGGAAGCTTCATGCTGAGCATTGAGAAGGCTATGAACCGACCCCTGTGGCAGAAAACTGAACAGACAATATCAAATTGCTTGGTCAGAGTGGTGCATTCACTGAAGATTGCCTAAATCGCCCCTTTCTGCTTGAAGAAAAGTCCCCGTGACTCTCTTCCTTGATATGAGGAGAAACCCTGCGATTGGTGTGCATAGGTTCGGGCGTCAGCTCTCTTAAATTGAAAGGCAGTCACCCGCGAAGGGCCCCGAAGGGCTGGCTTCGAATTTCTTGATGTTACGAAGAAACGGTGCCAAGTCAGAAGTACTCTTATCTGCTGAAGCTGCAGATTCAGCTCCATACCATGGTGCAACTTACGATGAGATTGGCACTGTTTTGGGCCGTCCCTCCAATGGATTCAGCTGTCTTACAAAGCCCTGCAAGAATCTTCATGTATGACTTTAACCCGCAACCCCCCTGACTTAGGGATGCCGCCACATACAATTCATCTACCTCTTGCCCATCTCACTGTCCAACAGCGGCGACCGTGGCTGTCACGGTGGCAGCAGAACATGAAAACCGAGAATTGATATCGGCGGCCTTCACATCAGATAATCCCAATTATGTGTATGATAGATCGAAGCCGAACGGTGAGAGGGGCTTGATACAATGCTTATCAAAAAGACAGTAGCCTTCTAGCACGCTCTCACTATAATCAGGGCGACCGCGTTCAACATTAACTGAGAGATCTGGATGAAAGCCGTGGTCCTCGAAGTATCTGGGAAGGTCACAGGGGGCTTGCTGGAGAAGTTATGCGTCCTGCGTCCCAAGGAGAACATTAGCAAATGAATTTCCATTCTCTAGGCCTTGATACCAGGCTTGGACAATACCGCCGCCGTCACTAACCCAATGCATAGTCACAGGGCGTGCTAATTGGACAATGAGCAAATGTCGGAGAACTATGGTGCGGTTGGGTGAGTAGCATGATCGGTGGCCGACGGAGGGGGCATTAAATAACAGTAATCACTCTCTTCTTTTATCCTCAGCATTCAGGCCGACCACAAGGGAATTGAGATCAGCCTTCTTTGCGACCTTAAAATATAATTTTTAAATGGGAACAAATCGATGTGGATACTGGATGTGTTGTTGCGGCCAGACACAAATGAACGGGCCAGAAAGATTTGGTTTGATCACGCCCGTAAGACCAAGGAAAAAGAGGGTTCGAAGAAGAACACGCATTGTTTTACGTTGCTCATAATTTAGGTATTGACAGCCTTTCTGAAATCAAGTAACACGCTGTTCTCGGCCAAAAAGTCCAGTCATCCACGGAGCTTATTTTAACCGTCTGGTTTCCGAAAGTCGGCGGTGTTCGAAAGCCTGGCATCCCTTGCTGAAAACTGACACGGAGACTCCGATTCTTCTTTGAAATTGAGTGCCATTGGCGTCATACGCGGTCGTGATTTCTCACGGATTGACTGCTGCGCTGCCACCACCACCGACTATTGGAATGGCAAGGCGTTCACATCGCATCTGCCAGCTCCTTCGTATGCTGATCTTTCATACTGTGTTCTCGAGACGTTCATTCCTCATTCTCTGATGAAAGAGGCTTCGCTTACCAACTAGTCTGAGCACGTGCTTCACACAAGACTACCAGGGGGATATCTCATCAGCCTGACTTCAAGAACCGCGGCCATCAGACCAATACCTGTCCCCTCTCAATGAGTCAGAGCCTTTTCAATGACTCGGAGGTTGTCACTAGGAAGGAGGGTTCCCAGCGAGATGGAGCTTTTCTCTAAGCAAACGATTGTGACGATTTCACTTGTCCAGCAACGACGGCGTCTGTAATGCTCAGGCACTTGAGTTGGAACGCTTCCTCGGCATTAGTGGCGACTTAAACATGGAGGCGGCAGCAAGTTCATGCTACCCCAGTACTCATCCAGAGTTTCATTATGTCTAAAACACCCTTTCTGCAGAGGTAACTGTATTCTTTACGGATTGAACTTGGCGGCGCCCGAGCAACCGGGGCAGGTGCACGTAGCTGTGGATACGATAGGTAAGGCGAATGCAGGTACCACAACCAGACACAGAAGCCCAGTGTGATGGATTTGCAGATGAAGATCCAACGGCTCACATATCGCCCCCAGTGTCTCGGGCCGGGCCGAGCCGCAGGAATCTGTGATGCGATGGCGTTCCTCTGAGACCCTCAAGACCCCGAGACCGACCAACCATTCTCCCCTCACAGTCGGGTCGAGGCCGTCGGTAGCAATATGAACGCTCCTCCGGATCGAGACTGTCACGGCAGATGGCCAGGTCGCAACCAAAACCGCACTGGCCGGCGACCAAAGACTGTCCGTCAGCCCCAACTCTTGCCGTCCGAACTGTCACCGATACTAGGGCCCATCTCAAGGGGTCGCGATGGAGTGTACGAGCCGGCAAACCGATCAGATGGCTGGGGGTATCCGAAAATACCATCTCTTATTCCGTTGTGTAAGCCTCTGCTCACCTCTGCGAACATCACGTGGTGTCAATCAAGAGGTCAAGGAAGGTAATTGTCGCGGGGATACCCAAAGGTCAGCCGCGTACGGTGCGTCACAAACCTACGCCACACTGCGCCATAGACGCTAATGACAGGGCTCTTGTCCAAGGAACGGATATCGTCTCTCGTCCCCAATGGGAGCACTTTCCACAAGGCAACACAACTCACCATCAAATCTCCCGTTGTTGTATCCTCCACTTCCCTTCGACCTAAAACGGGAGTCTTCCTCTTCCACGATGACTCAATCCCATACCTTGACGCCAAACGCCACATTCTAGACTGCATGGAGACATGGTGGTGACCGCTTCTGAAAGCTTCTACTCTGCTCCCACCCAGCTCGCTTGCCTGGACATCAGAATCCAACACACCGCTCCCGCCGCCGAGACGCCCGTCAGAGGCGCCAAGCCGGTCAGTGCACCAGTTGCAGCCATCAAGACGCTGTTGGCAGCGGGCCGCAACGCCTGACCAAGTGTCAATGACGGCTGGTGGCTTTCAACTCGTGGACTGCCCGGCCCCGGCGGATACTTCCAGCGGACCGGGCGGACAAGTATCATATCAGCTTGAATAGTTCTCCTATACTAGTTTTATTATCCTTATTATTCCTGTCCTTATTATCCCTATGGTCCTTGTCGTCCCTGTCGCCTGTCGTCCCTGTCGCCTGTCGTCCCTGTCGTCCCTCTCGTCCATGTCATCGTTGCTATTGATCGTTCCTATTGTCGCTCATGCTTACTATCCGCTCGGATAGCAGAACTCGTCCCGGAAATCTGGATATGGGTGAGGACTCCTTTAGTAGGTCAGAATTCGCGTTTCCCGAAATATGAGGCTATCGACTATCTCAGCCTCACAAATCAAACTTCATCTCCTTACCCGTCAGAATTCAGAGCAAAGCTGTTTCTCTTAGTTTTAGAGCCTTTTCTATCCTTCTATCCGCAACGATAGCCGTCCTCAACGAGCTCCCCGGCATCAAGGTCACCATTGAGGTCAACGACGACAAGGCCTAAGAGTACAGCGACGAGGACGGACCCGCCGAGGAGAAGAACAACAGACGATTTGCAAGTGCCTTTTATCTACATCTAATCGGCTTTCCGAGGAAGGCGAGCGATGTCTCCAAGATACCCATTTTAACACAATGTAGCCATGATAATTGGCCGCTCTAATGGCTCCTCTGAGCTTGTGTTCCCTCCAAAATAGCAGGCACTACAAAGGACCGTGTGTGACGCCAGAGTGCTGCCTCCTTTTCTCTAATGGTGCACAGGTATGAGCAGCTACAACGGTTTTCGTAGCACCTCTGCCTCCACGGAACATTGCATTCGCCAGTAACAGGGACCCCCGTGCCGTCCTCTTGGTGTCCTTTTTGATGGTGAAGAATCCCCTACTGGGCACTGCAGCAGCTTTTCGGTGGCAAAGTGATAGCAACACTCTTCCGGGACATGCACCTGAGCCCCCCAGCTGCACCTACCAGACGGGTCGACTTAAGCAATCTTCAAGCAGCGACAAGCTCAGCACCAATCCAATTCTTCGTCCTCGTCTGGACATCAGATTTCTCGCTCGTGAGGGGCCAGCCAGTTGTCCATCTTCTGCCATTGAGTCATCCTACGTTCATCCACTTCGATGATGACAGGCTGGTCCAAGATCAAGAGTGCGAAACCCAAGAAGTTATGTACACTTATTCAGGATACGCGCTGTTCTCTGCTGTTTCCTTGCAAATCTGTGCTGCATCTTATCTCCAAGGTTTACAGTGTACTTTGTTAAAGCCTGGACCGGCGAAATTGGGATCCGCACCAAGCG